GTATACGAGATCACAAACACTGATGTATTTGTTGCAATCTACCAATTTTTTGGGGGATTTTTTATATTGATACTAGATTTCTCCCGAGATTTCGTCCGGGTGCAATTAAAAAAAAAGTAAGTAGCCAATATGTTCTTTCCGATTATTTTCTACATCTATGCTAAATTTCATCGAGATCCGTTCAGCAGTTTAGGCTACGAACACTAACAAACATTCATCTAATTCGCATTTATAATATTAGCAGCAGTTAGATTTTTTTTTTTTCAAAAACATTATCTATATAATGAGAATAAGAAACGCTATTTTTCGTAAAAAACCCTGTATTAAACAAAAGCTACTGCTCGTAGATCTTGTTCCCGTTCGCAGACAACTTGCAGTTAATAAATTTGAAGACGATGTCTCCTAGCGGCTGCAGCGCGGCGCTGGCCGCGTCCCCCGGCGCGGGGATCAGACTGGACTCAGACCTGGAAATATGTACTTTTCATTCTATAGGACACGGACTTTGCTATGTAAGTATTTCTTATGCACACTAATATTCTATTTAACGTTCCAATACAAATTTTTATACACATTTGCGTACGAAAATTCCAATATATTTTGTAAACCAACGTTTAACATTGGAACTAGCAAAGCCCTTATCTCGTAGAATAACTGAAAAATTTGAATTTTGATATATCTACAGAGTTTGGAATTTGACTTATTCCTGTTTATTTAATTTCGCCTATGGATTAAAATTATATTTCATTATATCTATTCTATTGTGTATTTTATGCCTAGTTCGCCAGGCAAATATTTTAGTCGAGTACCGTGTAATTTTGTAACGTATCTGAACAATGAAACAGTGGAATCGAGTACAGATATTTTTGACTAGAAAATTTCAGCCCAGAAATTACTTGATACTCGATGATAAATTAGCTTAGTAGGGACTAGGTATTAAGTAAAAGTATAACACCCAGGGAGACTCCGGCAGTCCGCTGGTGGTGCGAGGGGGGGGCGCGCAGGTGGGCGTAGCGTCGTGGGCGCACCCGTGCGCGCGGGGCTTCCCCGACGTCTACGCCAGGCTCAGTCCCTACAGGAACTTCTTATTGGACATTATACGATAGTGCTGTGTATTTGGTGCTAAATTGGTGTTAATTTATGAGAATACTAGCTGTTCGCGTGCGGCTTCATCCGCATGAAATTATTTTATTTACATGTGTCAAATTATCAATTGCAAATGTCAAAATGACATGACATCATGACAACCTTGCTTCCTTGATGTTGGCAGCAACTTATGGTCTCTTTCCCAGATTAGTGTTTTTATCCAAAATATCTACCCCCTAAGTTTAATGGCGTGAAAATATATAGCCTAGAGCCTGACGTAAGTGTAGGGCTTTTTATTAAAAAAATAATTATTCAAAAATATGCTCCAATTGCTGACATCTTAGGCAACAAAGAAGTGTGTGTTTACGCTTTATTATAATAGTATAGATGTTCAGGTGTTAATTATGTGTAGTGTTAGAGCAAGCGCATATCTTTGACTAAACTGTCACAACTGTTTTGCGATTGTCGCTTGTTTCGCAGTCAACTGTTTAGTCGCACAACTAAATATCGAGGAGTGTGCGCACCTCCATATAAGCTCAAAGGAATCAAAACGTAACTAAACAGTTGTGTGGTAGTTTAATCAAAGATGTCCGCTCTTACATTCATTGTTAATATTTAATATAAGGACTGTTAAAATATTGAATAATAAATGTTTTAAGTAATTTATGGTTTTATTCTTCTAAACTATTCATTAAATTATTGTATGATTTATTAACAGGCCTTTACTTAACACTATTCTTTTATAATTAACTAGCTATTGCTCGGGATTTGGTTCACGTGAAGTTAAAAATCAGCCAAATTAGTGATTATGTGGTTTTATAGTGGTGAATTTTTTTTAATCGGCCCCGTATTTTTTGAGTTATAGAAAAAAAAATGCATTTCTACACTTTAATAAACATTTACTGATTTAAATACATTTAAACTAAGTTTCCGTAGATTTAGTATCAGAAGTAGTAGTAGAAGTTACTGTATTATCTACAGAAACAGTTTGTTTGAACCATTTCTCGTATGCGCTGATTCGTGTGAACATATCGGGAGTTCCTCGCGCACACGGCAGCCCCCACGACACCAGCCCGATCTGCTTTCCAGTACTCACTTCGATAAGAGGACTGCCGCTATCACCCTAAAAAAACCATTAAAATAACAACCTTAGTAACATTATAAATGCGAAAATTTAAATTAATGGAGTTTGTAGCCTGAACGGCTGATTGAATCTCGATAAAATTTGGCATAGATGTAATACATATGTTACAATAACACATATGCTTTTTTTTAACTTTTTCTTTTAATTCCACGCTGACGAAGTCGCGGGCGATAGCCAGTTTTTAATAATGAAACAAAAACCTAGTACAATGTGTGGAAGAACACGAAACGAATAATCTCGGCAAAATCTATTAAGCCGATTAGCCTATAGGATGCAATTTTATTCCCCTTCCTGGATGATTTTCAGAAGCAAATTCCTTCTGTAGCATAAATGACAGCTAAATAAAAAGATATACTGACATTACACACGCCATGGTTCACCGAATGATAAGCGCAGAGCATGAGGGGAGGCTCGACAGGCGGTACTTGCAGACGTATCGACGCGGCCTCTTTCTTCACTTCCTCTGCACATTGCTGTCCATCCACTGTCATCATCTCCAGCTCCAATAACTCAGAAGATACTGGTTTTGTTTTCTAGAAATTGAAACAATAGCCATTATGTTTTGCCTCTACCAATGCCCCATACATATTAGTTCTCTTTTTCTCTCCGATCCTAATTCACTGAATTTAATATGCTTTGTACTTCAAAATTTTGTATGAACTGGAAGGTTCTTAAACTTATCTATACCTATCTATTTCTACGTTATTTGGACTCCTTAATTAGTGGTTGTATAAATACTAACATTAACTCTCCCCCAACCGGCGACTATCGCTTCAACATCAGCTCCGATGTTCTGGTAACTTAAGACGATAAGCTGAACATTCTTGGAGAAACTGACGTCTGTTGCTACAATCAGGAATCCAATATCGTTTTTCAGAAGCGACGGATCGTACTCAGGATGTGTGATGTTGCCCGATATATTGTACGTTTTGCCGCCAGAGTTCCAGATGTTGGTGCCCACTGTTATACTGAGAGAGCTGGAATTTATAAAATAGATAGCCGTAAATAAATCTAAAGGCCACCATATATGAGCAGCTTCAGCAATAGCGGCGATTATCGAATGCTAAGCAGTCCGTGTACAGGATATTTCTGAAAAAATATCGCGAAGTTTACTTGATAAGTGATCCATTGCGGTATAAGGCGGAAATACAATGAGCGACAGTCAGAACATGCTTAGCTGTGAACAGCGAGCCCGCGCAAATGAAGCTACGGACTGTAGTCCCTACGGTGACAGCTGCAATGTAAGGCGCCGCGCCATCTTCCGCAGGCACACCGCCGAGGATGCGCCCCCGGGATTCCGCGTGGATGAACAGCTCTGAGGTGCCGTAATCGTATGATGTAACTCCTAGGTTATCAGTATATTTATTATTTACTTATTAGCAGGGTTAAAGAATAAAACTAATTGCCATCCTTCCGCATTTATACTAGGCGCGCGACCCGTTTAGTCTTTTATAATATCAGAAATTAGTGTAAATAATTCTGCGACCTCTGTGTGAAGATAGATTAGTTTCGACTAGCTATATTTCATTTAAATGTTTTCTCCCAATTTGTAGGTCACCAATTTGGACTAAATCGACAATAATTATTGGATGTAATCTTTAATATCCAAATATATTAAACTCACCCGAATTCGTAACAATTAGCACAAAAATAATTCCTTTAAACAACATCCTTGTTGCAACTCGGCGATACATTTGCGATTTCCTTGAACATTTGGGTATTTATATGTGTAATTGTATTTAATCAATTGAACATTTCAATGAAATACATTCAGTTGATAAGGAATCCTAATTTCGTTCTGAATTCAAGTTCGAAACAGTTTCTAGTGACTCTTTAGAATTTTATTATTTTTATTACAATTGTAATGTTGGTATTTCAGTAATAACAATGTTGTTACACAATTTTTTGTGAGTTTTTTAGTTTAGAAATATGCATAAAATGCACTTAAACGGCAATAATAAAACAGCATGTAAGCCAGCGAGAGTTAACGGATGGAACTAAATAAGAACATGCGCCAACGACATCTATCGGTAGAACTTGTCTTTTGCGGACTGTTTATACAATTTACGCTAAACTAAGTTATCTCTAAACAAGTGATAATAAACTAGTTTGTATGAGTTTTTTTTAAATAGTTTCCACAAGTGTTCTAATAAGGCAATACCCTGTATAGTTTATTATTCCAACAATAGGCAGTTTTTATACATTAAAAAATTGTACAAACATGTTTGTCCATGGCTTATAATAAAGTTTAATTTGCGTATATGTGAAGTGCGTCTATGGTTGCAAATATTAGGATTTCAATTCTGAATTTATTATACCACTAGTTTTCATTAAACAAAAATAAAAGTGAATAGCCTATGTGTTCTTCCAGACTATCCTCTATGTCTATGCCAAATTTCATCGTGATCCGTTGAGCAGTTTAGGCTACAATCTCTAACAAACATCCATCCTTCAAAAGAAGAGTAAACAGCTACCTATTAAGCTAGCCTGTCCCATATTTCAACCGCATCATCACTTTCTTCAGGTGGGATCGTGGTCAAGCGCTAGCTTAGCAGACGTAAAAAAACATACATCTAAACTTTCGCATTTACAATATTAGTTAGTAAGAAAGATTGTTATTTTAATAGCATGAATTAAAATGGTTCAATAAAACACCATTATAAGTTGATATTTTCTTACGTAGATATTTTTCTTCAAACAGACGTAGACAGCATTTATTGTTGAAAAACAATTCTTACAATGTTTGATACATGTTATTGTAAAATAGCATTAGAACATAAATTACACGGATGTCCTTAATACATGACGCTAACAATCCAGTCCCTGTATGTGCTCAGTCGTACGTACATGTCGGGTGCACCGCGAACGCAAGACAGACCCCACGATACGATGCCTATCTGAAGATTGTTTTCTACATTCAATAGGGCACTGCCGCTGTCACCCTGCAGTTGGAAAAATAAAATAAATACTTAAAAAGCTGAGTCACATTCTGTGCATAAGATATTTTTTTTAGTAGATGCAAGCAAAGAGTAAAAGCAATCTTTGAGGACAATGTATCGGGGATAAGGAACCTACTCGTATTAATTTGTCCGGTTTAGCACACTGTTAAAGCACATATGATAGAGCCAAAGCTCGTATGAACAGTGGTAGAGCCCGCTTTAACATCTTCGCACGAATGGGCCGGCTCGCCCGGTGTAATACCACGACCACACAGAAAACAGGCGTGAAGTGGAAGCAATTTCACGTTTCGTCTGAAGAGTGTGGTGCCGGAGGCCGAATTTTAGTCCCTTTCCCTTTCCACTCTTTTCTTAAAAAGAAAGGATGGGAATGAAAAGTGGATTTAACAGGAAAATTTAAAGAGGAAAGGTCCTCTTTATGTTCGTCTCATCCTCCGTCAATTAAGGGTAGGCAACACATCTGCAATTGCGGATGTTTATGGGCAGCGGTTGCTTTTCATTTCGGTGGATTCAGGCCGCTTGCTCGTTTGCCATCTTATATTATAAAAAAAAAAGATTCAGCGGTGCTTTCATTTGTGTGTGTTGTATACTGACGGTGCACATGGTGCGTTCTGAAGGTTGGAACACGCATAGCATGGTTCGTGGATCGACCGTGGGCGCTAACATGCTCAACTGAGCTGCGACTTCCGCCACCACGTGTACGCACTCCTCAGCATCCACTGTCACCGTCACCAGTTCCATAAGCACCTCGGACTCAGGTCCTTTAAACTGAAAATGATCACATTATCACATAGGATAAAAAAAATACAGAATTCATTTTAAATTTGGAAAAGAGATTAAAAGTACTTACCCATAAGCTCCCCCAGCTAGCGACGCGGGCGCGCACTCCAGCGTCTATGAAGTCGAAGCTGAGACCGACTGGCTGCACGTCATAGGACAACATTACCTCTGTGGACGTCACCATGATACCAATATCATTATTGAGGGTCGCAAAGTTGTACTCGGGATGAGTGAAGTTATACGAGATGCCGTATGACTGGCCGCCGGCCATCCAGCGATTGGTTCCCACTGTCACGCGCATGGTGCTATTATTAAAAAAATATTACTTTCATGTCGTTGTCATTGTTTAATAGATTTGTAGAAAACTTACTCGCTAAAAACACCATCATCGTAGATTAAATCTATGCAGTGAGCGGCTGTCAGAATGTGTATAGTGCTAATCAGGGAGCCACCGCATATGAAGGTTCTGACCATCAGGCCCCTGGTTATGGCCACCATGTAGGGCGCGCTACCATATGGCGCTGGGATGCCACCGATCACGCCGGAGCCAATCTCCGGGTTGATGAAGAAAGCATGACGCCGTGTCGGGTTAGCTGAGTTAAACAACAATCTATTACAACTTAATTACTCTTGTAGATGTGAAGTTTTTATATTCAGAAAACAATTAAAAAGGCTGGTGTAATAAAAACTGACCCAAGCCGGCCGCAAGAAGCGTTACCAGGAGAATTACGGCTTTCAAAACCATGCCTGCTGCGCGGTTGACATCGTTTGTCCAAAATACCACATTACGAAATAATACATTTGTACGAGTGCAACTATAATCTGTTTTCCTATTGTGGCATAGGTGATTATTGAACTGATACGATTAAATGTAATCCGAATGCTGGGCCACCAAAGCTGCGGATGAAAAGAGATTGCATGTGGCTGAGATGTGTATGTTAAGATGGGTGTATGGTGTGACAAGAATGGATAAAGTTAAGAATGTGTACATTAGACGAAGTTTGAAAGTAGCGCCAGTGGTGGAGAAATTCAGAAGCAAAACTTTAACGTGGTAAGATTGAATATGGATGGCTACAAAGGTAGGGGAAGACCGAAGAAAGTATAGATGGATTGTGTGAAAGAGGATATGCTTAAGAAAGGAATGGATTCAGATATGACGGCTGATAGAGATATAAGGAATAAGGGCATGTTGATGGTGATGATATGATAAACTTTTCAGATTATGAACTATAAGCTGATACTAGTGATTAATAATCTGATGCAAACATTAAGGTAATATCTATTGATAGATAGGTAACATTAGTATATCGTTTCTTGGACTATCTTGACTGGTTTTCAAACATGAATAACTAACGTAGTTAAGCATTTTTAGCGACTCTTTTCGTTTTGTGACAAATAAACGAAACGGCAACTAGAAGTTGCTTAAATAGCCGAACAATTGTTCCCCATAAACATTCGCATTTGCAGATGCATTGTTTATTTTTAATCAATAGATAAACGCACAGAAAGAGAATATTTCCCTTAATTTTCAGAAATTAGTATAATTAATTTTGCGACCTCTATAGATAGACTGGCTTCGACTAGCTATGGCTTATTTAAGTGTTTTCTGTCCATTGGTAGGTCTAATTCTAATTTGATACGTACAACTCACCTGAGTTCGTAACAACTAGCATTAAAATAACTCCTTTAAACAACATCCTTGCTGCAGCTCCGCCATACATTTGAGATTTCCTTGAATAATTGGATTTTTATACGTGTAATGTTTGAATTAAATCAATTAACTACACATTTCGTTGAAATAAATTCAATTGATAAGGAATCCTAATTCCGTATAGAAATAAGTTTGATTACAATTTAAAAAGACAAGAATTGTATTTTTGGTACAACAGTAGGAACTACATCGTTACACAATTATTGTAATTTTTTGTAACTTAGAAATATAAAGAAAATAATAAAACAGAATGTAAGCCAGCGAGAGTAAACGGATGGAACTAAATAAGAACATGCGCCAACGACATCTATCGGTAGAACTTGTCTTTTGCGGACTGTTTATACAAATTACGGTAAACTAAGTTATCTCTAAACAAGTGATAATAAACCAGTTTATATGAGTTTTTTTTAATAAGATTCCACAAGTGTTCTAATAAGGCAATACCCTGTATAGTTTATTATTCCAACAATTTTCATATGTACATTAAAATTTTTACAAAACATGTTTGTTTATGTCTTAAATAGTAAAGTGATAAAGATTTGGACCGAATAAGCATAGCGAGAATTTGCCTAAATGTGAAGTGCGTCTACGGTTGAAAATATTGCAATTAGGAACCTGAATTATTTAGTCTAACAGCATTCATTAAAATGGTTAAATAAAACTTCATTGTAGATTGAAAATTTCTTACGTAGTTATAATAGCATTTATTTTTCTTTACACACTAAATTTATTGTTACAAAATCTAGCTTACAACGTTGTATTTAGAATATCAGTTCGTTCATAAATTCTATAACAGGTATCTAATCCATGACGCTAGCAACCCAGTCCTTGTATGTGCTCAATCGTACGTACATGTCCGGTGCACCGCGAGCGCACGAAAGCCCCCAAGATACGAATCCTATCTGAAGATTGTTTTCTACATTCACTAGGGCACTGCCGCTGTCACCCTGCAGAAAAAACACGAATACATAAAAGGTAATACAAGTCACATTCTGTGCGTAAGAAGCATATCTTTTGAATAAGTACATCCAAAAGTAGAATAAAAGCAATCACTGACGACAATGTAACTTGTGATTGTTAAGGCTTTGGCCCAAGAATAGAGAATAATCGGAGCCTTAATTGCTAAATATTACATTGTGTGTTTTGCATACTGACGTTGCACATGCCGCGTTCTGCGGAGTGGAATACGCAGAGCATGGTGTGCGGGTCGACTGGAGGTACAGGCATGTTGATCTGAGCTGCGACCTCCGCCACCTCCCGTACGCATTGCTCGGCATCCACCGTCGTTGTCACCAGTTCCATAAGCACAGCAGACAGAGGTCCCATATGCTGAAAATCAAATGGAATCCCAAAAAAATATAAATTTATTTTAAATTTGCAAGACTGATTATTTTAAAGTATTTACCCATAATCTCCCCCAGCCAGCACCGCGGGCGCGCACACCAGCGTCTATGAAGTCGAAGCTCAGACCGACTGGTTGCACGTCATTGGACAACACTACTTCTGTGGACGTCACCATGATCCCGATATCGTTCCTGATGGTCTCCAAGTTGTACTCGGGATGAGTGAAGTTATGTGAGATGCCGTAAGATTGGCCGCCGGCCATCCAGCGATTGGTGCCCACTGTCACGCGCATGGTGCTATTATTAAAAAATAATTACTTTCATGTCGTTGTCATTGTTCAATAGATTAGTATAAAACTTACCCGCTAAGAACACCATCATCGTAGACTACATCTATGCAGTGAGCGGCTGTCATAATGTGTCTAGTGCTGATCAGGGAGCCACCGCATATGAAGCTTCTGACCAGCAGGCCGCTGCTCATGGCCACCATGTAAGGTACGCTTCCATCTGGCGCTGGGGTGCCACCCACCACGCGAGAGCCGGCCTCAGCGTGGATGAACAAGTCAGAGAAAGCATGTCGCCGTGTCGGGATAGCTGAGTTAGAAACAATATTCGCTTACAACTTAGTTAAGTTAAAGTAGTTACTCTTAGGGTGTTTAAGTTAATACTTTTTTAATAATTAATTATGTTTATGTAGGAAAAATTAGTAGTTGTGCAATAAAAACTGACCTAAACTGGCTGCCAGAAGCGTTACCAGGAGTATTCCAGCTTTCAATACCATGTCTGCTCCGCGGTTGACAACGTTTGTCCAAAATACCGCATTACGAAATATATTTGTACGCCTGCGCAGCTGTAATCTACGTGTTTTCCTATTGTGTCACAGCTGATTTGATGAAATGATACGATTAACTTCAGATTGTGAACGATAAGTTGATACTACTAATTAGTTATCTGATGCAAAAATTAAGGTAAATATCTCTATATAGATAGGTAACATTATTATGTTCCAATTATACGTAACAAAATAACGATGACTGTTGGTTTACAACTTCACAATTGAAAAACTAACGTAAGACATCATTAAGCTATAAATGCAACATTTTTAGCGACGTGTTTAAAACAGTATTTTCGCACAGATAATGAATGAATATCAGTACCATTTAGATACATACAGTACCTGAATACAGTACAATTTACATTTATATACATAGTACATCGCTTTATAAGAATGTGTACACCTGAAACTAAACTATCGCACAACTGTTTACTCGCTTTGATTCATATGTGCTTATATGAAGGTCTCACTACTCGATTTTTAGCAGTGCAACTAAACAGTTGAATGGGCTGTGAAACAATCGACAATCGAACAACAGTTAACTAACAATAGAATCCGCTTTATCTTTGCACTGTACGGCCGGTTCGTCCACGACCACACAGAATACAGTTGTGAAGTGGGAGCAATTCCGCGTTTCGTCTGATGACTGATGTCGGAGGCCTAATTTTAGTCCCTTTTTAGTCTTTTAGGCCTAATTTTAGTCCCCTTCCCAAAAGAAGGAGGTATTCAATTCGTCGGTATATTTATTTTATTTTTTTTTTTTTTT